TGAGGTATCCATCGATGTATTCATCGATAACGTCACACAAAGTACCTTCTACAACAGTATGCAACAATTTCTGACCTAAAATGCCACTTGCCTATTAGGTTACCCACCATGCTGATCACGACTATCATATCAAATTCATTTGGGAGAGCTTTGCTGTAGAGTTAGGTAAGTGTATTGTCGTAGGCATAACACGGATTTAGCCGATTAGTATTCTACTGCGGTCATTTGTAGGCTATATACAAATTATGGATCTATACGTCTGGTGCCGCCTTATCTTGGAGACAATGGGTATACGGTGTGAAATCAGACCATGGACTCTTATAAATGTACCAAGAAAAGGCTTGATACGCTATTCAGAAAAACTGATCAGCAACGGTCTGTTAAGCCCTCTAGATTACTGCGTCATCATGACGCGACTCTGGGTATCGACTACCACGTAATCGCCTTCCAGGAAACGAAGTCCAGAAAGACGGACGTGAGGCAGATGATTGTTGGTACATTCACCACTCGTGGTGAGAAAGTTCCATCACGAAACATTGGAGGCATTGGATTTGTCGTACACGTATCTGTTGCCCTGTCGATTCGCATGAGATCCTATAACCTCGCCTGGCTATGATTTCGTCCTCTGCAGAAAACCGTCACTATTCAACTGCTATTCTCCAACATCAGCAACTGATGATTCGGAACTTGATGCTTTTTATGAGGATCTGGAGGAAGTCATTCGCAAAGAAAACTTCCATAAGTTCGTCGTGAGTGGCCTCAATACGAAAATCGGGACAGAAGAAGGGGAGTACAGGATCGGGAGATTTGGATCAGGACTCCGCAGTGAGAATGCCGTCTTGTTGGGCTCTTATCCGCCGCACGACTTTTTCATGGCAATTCTTTCATGAAGATAAAAACCGGCGGTGGAAGTGGGAATCACTCAACGGTACGATTCATGCGAAGATTGACCACATTCTTACTAACCGAAGGTGGTAAGAATGTGGTCAATCTTCGCATGAATCGTACCGTTGAGAAGGTGGTGCCTACTGGACATCTCAGCGGTACGATCAATCGCACTCTTTCTCGGAAGGGACGGTCCGATCACCGTCTCCTCCTAGCAAAAGTGCGATTCAGCCG